AAGTGAAAAATAATTTATTTTTAAACATAAATACCAATTTGTTGATTACTGAACTGTTAATGTTCCGTATTTCTTTTATTAATTTTTTTTTCACGCGTTTTTTAAGATAGGTATTGAAAGCAATATTTATATTTGTTGACCTCTGACTTTTTAGACTCTAAAGTTTAGGCTACCGTGCATAAATAAACGGTATTTTAATCAAGTTTTAAGTACAAAGTTACAATCTTGGTATCTTCCATACATTGGAAAATGTCTACTCTCGGAATTTACTTTCATTATTATGAGTAAAGGCTAATTTGTAATTTAATTTAGTCAAATTGGCTGAAGTCATCGAACTTGAATATTAAATTTGTCACCTAACAAAACAGGAAAAAGAAGTGATCTTCTTTTGCCCACATTTACTTCCAACATGACTTGGTGTAATCTCTGATTAGAAACACCTAAATAAGTTTTTTTTTTTATTTGGAAATTGAAAGGATTCAGACTCCAGTCATTTTAACTTATTTAATATTCCTTTAGAGAAATACAACCTCTGACTACCTGTGTCCAATAAGTAGTTTACAGAGACTTTCTTAGTACCCCGATATAATGTAACTTCTACTATAGGTAGCATTAACTTGTTTTCCTCATTTGTATCAGCATCCACATAAGTAAAAAGAGAGCTCCCATTCTTATGATTATCACACAGTGGTGTTATATGTCCCTGAGAAAAAATTGTTTACTGGAAAGGAATAATTTATTCTGAAGTCCAGGGCAATCTTCATTTTTATGTTTGCCACTGAAACTTCAACTGATTGCATCTGGCTGCTATTGACTCATAGGTAGGATATTTTCAATGGTATGACCATGTAAAGCACAAAATTTACATTGTGTCCCATTAGAGCTGATGGCAAAATTCTGCAAGGCAGCACCATTATTTTCCTTTTCATCGGATTTATTACTTTTAGTATCTTTCCCATATACATGGAGGGGCCTCTATCATCAGTTTGTATTTAGGAGAACTGGTTATTATTTGAAGATCTCATTAATTATAAAAGGCACATTCAAAAATTCTTTCATTAACAAATTTACTGCTACTTCATAATTGTTGCCTTCTAAGATAAGATGCAAAATTAGTTGAAGAGCATAGCTGGTAAGATAACTCTTTAAGAGGGCTAGCTTTGCTTTATTAGAATTGATGAAATTAGTGCAGTTGTTAAACTGTGCTATAAAATTCTTGAACTCAAACAGAAGGATTAATACCGCTAAAAGTTGCACACTGTAATTTGGGAGATGAGATCATTGAATGGTTAGCAATAAGGAACTGGCTTTGCTGTCATAGGAAGTCCTCGTTTCTCAAACAAATTCCTCAATATTAGCAAGCTAATTACAGACTTGAAAACCAAATTCATTCCTTTATCAGTTACAAAACCACCTTCCTCTAAATCTAGATTGGCTTTGATAGAATTTTCCCTGATTTTACCATCGAAAGCTTAAATTTCTCCCTGAACATTTTTGATGATGGAGTGAGATAAGAACTTAAAGGAAATTTTTTTTTTAAAGTGGAAGACACTTTAAAAAAAAATTTCCTTTAAGTTTTTATCTCACTCCAGCAATTCTAAACTTAAATTAAGATCATGTTTTAAATTGTTCTTAGAGTCAATAAGGGCTTTAACTCCTTTTAGCTATCCATCTTGAGATAGACAATAAATTAAAATTATTTTTTTTTCTTTTAATTATATTTTGGACACCATGTATGCAGATTTATTTCACTGAATGGTGAAGTAAGGCAAAAAATTTTTTATATATATTTGGACATGACATGTCCAGATTAATTTCATTTAATTGTGGAGGCAAATTTTTTTTATATATATACTTAGTCACCACATGTCTGGATTAATCTCACTTAATTGTGATGGCAAAAATTTATTTTATATAAATACAGCAGACTAGAAGATATTTTCTCTCTCTCAATGACTTTAGTTCTCAAATCTGTCTCTTTTTTAATTTAAAAAATTGTCCTCCATTATCATGTCAAGCAAAGGCGCTTTATGTGTTTAGCAAAATTACACATATATTTAGCAAATTTCTTATTTTTTTAGTGAAATTGCAAATACGTTTAGCAAAATATGGGAACGTTAGCAACACCTCATATGAGTCATAACAGAGGAACAAAGAACAAGACAAATGAGCAGCTTAAAAGCATACTTTTATATAACAAGAAAGTGAAGAGAGAATTGCTAAACATATTCCTTTAGCAGTTAATGTTATAGCATCAGCGACAAAGTCCAATACATGAATCTATTTGAAATTGATTGAAACACTTATCAGAAGTTCATGATATCTCTTTTTCCAATGTTTTTTTTTTACTATTATTTTTCAAATAGAACTAAAATTTAAGTTAAAAAAGGTATTTTAAAAAATCAATAATCAAAAAAGCAGTAATTTTTCCTCTACTTATTTTCATATTTTTTAGCAACCACAAACTAAATTTCAAACAATATTTAAATTATATTTTCAGAAAACTAAAAATTTCTTCAATTTATTTTCCTAATTGCACAACAAATTTTAATTTAAGAAAATTGAATTAATTGTTCTGTACAAGGAGGTGGTAGTTTGTTTTTCACACATTTTTATTTTAATTGATTTTATATTCTATTAAAAAAGTGTTCTTTATAATTTGTAACCATACTCAAAAAATAAAATGGTACCTTTAAAATCGTGTATATCATTATCATTCTATTTTTTTTGTATAAATTTTTTTGTTTTTTTTTGTATAAAAAATATTTTGATGAAAACTGGAAAAGGAACAAATTTGAGAAAATAACCTTTTATGCCATTAAAAATAGCATACCACTGAAAAAAAAAATTTAAAACAAAATCCTTTTAAGCAAGTTTCTTATTTTTAGTAATTAGTTTTAATTATGGAGATACGTTTTCAATTTCCCTGTTAAAAGAAAAACGGGGGAAAAGAAATATAAATAAAAATGTTAAAAAAATGGAAATTAATTAGTTTCATTACTTAGGTAGCCTTAATGAATTTGTATAATTTTAATAAAAACTTAATTAGTTAAATACAACTATTTTTTTTTTTTTTGTAAATACCATGACTCTCCACAAATTTTGTTTTTTGTTCTATGAAGTGCCATGCATTCTTGGAAAAGATAGTGGAGTAGTTTTCTGTTGCCTTCTCTGTTTATTAGTGAGTGCCATGGCTGGCACATCTTAACCTGAAACCCCCTGAACCTCTCATTTTTTGGGGCCCCGTTATGGCCTCCAGCATGTTTTTCTGCACTGTTTTATGGCCATCTGCCATTTTTAAAAATTATTTTTAAACTGATGTTACATTGTCAGTTATCAACTAATAATACATCATGTCTGGTGTGGTGCATATTATGCAGGAACCCCCAACGAGGTTGGAGCCCCAAAAGGTCTAGTTTCAGCAGCGTATTTTTTGCTTTTTATACTTTTTTTCTACCTTATATTGTCAATCATCAATTATAATAATCGACAAGGCCAGTGCTTACTACCCTAAACCTCTTAACCATGTGGGGGCCACATGCCTACTGGGAAGGTAGGGAGGGCAGAAGTGCTAATTTCAGTAGTGATTATTTTCTAAAATTGTAATTTTCTTTCTGAACAGTTCTTTCAAATCAATTAAGAGGGTAATATATCGTGGTAAAATAATTTTTTTATCCTGCGATCATCCACAAGGAGGATCTCTGATATATTTTTTTACTAATAATAGTAATACTAACCAGAAGTCCACAGCTGGTAATTAAAATAAAATGTCTAACCCTTATTTTTTATATTTCTAGAAAGATAAAACTAACAAAATGATCGCTTAAAAAATAAAAATGTCTAAAGATTTCAAGACATGAAGAATTTTCCTGAAAACAGTTTTTAAAACAAATTTTTCAGAAAATCCCGTTTGTGTTGTGTTGGAATCTTTGTAAATATTTTTTCAGTGGAGATGCGTCAGCGATTAATCTTTCTTTATGGAAATGAAAAATTTGTGACTTAAACATTTTTTTGAGTAAAATTTAGTCATGAAAATATTGGTGGTTATTACAAAAAGAATAACATTTTCTCAGTTTTTTTTTAAAAACAAAACAAAAAAACTATTCATTATAAAAGTAAATAATTTAATTAATATGTACCTAAATTTTTCATTTAAATTGGATAATTTCCTGATTTTTAGTAATTTAAAAAAGCGCTGCCCTCCATACACCCAATTTTCCTTCGAGGATGTATGAGCCCCAGGTTGGGAAACTTTGAAATCGACATTTAGTAGAGAGTGGGGCCCCCGAGACCCTAGCGCCGACCCTGATGAATGCAGTCACGATATTGTTGAAAAAAAAAAAAAAAAATACATTTGTTGACATTGACAACTATACATCTCATTTTTTCTTTTTAAGAAATTTTAGAAATGAAAATCATAACTCCGATTCTAGTGCCTCATCTTTCACGGAGAACACGCAAGTTTTTTTAAAAGCATTTTTCTTCTTTTTTTAACTTATGGATGAGGGTGTCTTTGTGCTTTTTGTTATGATAATTTTAAAAATTAAGTAAGTCGCAGGTTACTTTTTTTTAATAAATTAGTGTCCAAAATCTAAGTAAAAATTGAACGATTTAAAAAAAAATTTCTTTAATGAAATTTGTTGTAATTATGAAAATACTATTTTCAAAATAGAATTATCAGCAGTGAATATATTTTTTTATCAACAAACAACGATTCTATCTTCACACACAAGAAAATAATGTTATCATGGAAGAGAAGGTTAAAGAAATGATGATGATCGTTGCATAGACTCCATTTCATCATCATCACATTGAGAGCATTAACAATTAAATTACTGTGTCGACAAGCTAGTTTAAATTTATTTATTTAAGAAGCAAAAATTCAGAAGAAATTTCTTTCTTTTTTGAAAGTATAGTTCGACATTAATGTTAATGTTGGACGATCTTTCTATTTACATATGGAAAATGGAATGAATTATTTGATACAATTACACGGCGAAATGCAAGGTAAGAAACAATCAGAAAAATGAATTTGCAATTCTGGCGCAAGTAAATTGAGTTGACATTGGCATTTACTGTTTAATGTTTTTAAATTCTTTGTATGTTTTACATTTACTTCTTTTTTTTTTATCTTTTTCTCACTTTCGCTCGCAAAACAATATTTCTTTTTTTTTCTTCAATTTCTCACTATTTTTTTTATAAATATGAATAAAAAAAATATTTGTAAATAAATATCATTACCCTCCGTTTTTTTATTGTTCCTTTTCCCACTTTTTACTTTTAATTTAATTCATTATCATTAATGAATACGTATTGAAAATTTATTTTAAATCAGATAATTCCCTGATTTTTGGTAGAAGGTAGCATTATTTTGCTTTCAGCATCCATTTGGTGGTACCTAATTTTCCCCAAAAGAAAAAAAGGGATTCATATTGTAAACAAGTTTAAATTTTTAATATTCGTTTTCTTACAAACAGCACCTAATTCAATTTTTGTTGTTACTTTCCTTGGCAGAAATGTACAGTTGTGAACAGTAGTAATATTCACTAATATTCAGTGACAGAAATTATTTCCCTACTTGTCCTATTCACAAAATAAAATAATATTTTTTTAATGTCTGTCCAAATTTAAGCTAAAATGAGAAAACTTGATCTTTTTAATTTTATTCATCCGTTTTAAAATTTGTTTTTTCATGCATATGAAAAATAACGAATGTTCCCTGATATTTTTCGTTTATTCAAAAAAAGGCAGATAGTGAAAAAAAAAGTAGCCTTTACAATTTACATTTAAAAAGAAAGCTCATGATGTTATTGTTATTGATTGGGCAACTTCAGTAAATTGCATAATTTGCAATAATCATCCAGAATTAATCTCTTTTTAACGTAAATAGAAATTCGACGCAAAAAAACGATTTTCTCTACAGATTTAAACTAAAGCATTTTAAATTCTCCAACATTCTCTCTCTGACAGACGAAATAAATACTGGTTAAAAAAATAAACGAAGCGTCTACTCAAACACGCGTATCCACTAAGAAATAACGTTTAAGTAATTAGAATGTCTGCAATAAAAATGCATCCATCCTGTTTGGTTTTATTTTTACCGTGTTACTGTTAGTGTTGTGTAATTTCCAAAACCAGAGCTCGAAAATAGGCAATAAATGTTAATCAGGTGTTGTTCATTTCATTGTTAGCGCAATTAGTGAAAGTGGTTTTTGAAATTCACTTGTTAAATTTGTTTCAAATAAAATTTAATTTTTAATTAGAAAAATCCTACTGTTACGCCGTAAAAATTAAAGCTCTCTCATTTTTTGTTAAAATCTTTTAAAACGAAAATTATTGATTAATAATGCAAGTCGGTTTTTGTTAATAAAATTTAAACCGAAAGTAACAGCGATTTTTTTCTTTTCTTTTCTAAAGTTAAAAAATGAAATGAGCTCAAACAGATCTTAGTTTCCACAGTAACTACTTTATGGTGGCGGGATTTTTACCAATAACTTGTGTTTCTTAACAAAATCGGTTAGTGTGTGAATTGAACTCACAAACTGTAAGAAAAGTTTGTATTTGTCTCCAACATTCAAAATAAATTTTAATTTTAATTTTAGGGGAAATCATCAGTTATTTGATTGCATTTAATGAGTATTTAAAGAAAATGTTTTTGTTTGATTCCGCAATAATAATAAAGTAAATAAGTAGCTACCTTTTTCTCATTTTTAGGGAGTGACGGCTTACTACGGAGAGCGCCAGGTGGGGGTACACCTGTTCTTAGGGAGAATGTGGAACCTGAATTAGAGCACAAAGCCCGAAGAGGTAAGTAATTTGTGTGTGTAGTGTATAATTTGAGAACAAGTAATTCTTTAGCCTAATAAAAAAAAATTCTGTCTCATTTTAGTGATCGCAGTAGAATTGTAAAAAATGTATTGTAAATAAATAAAAATACGATCGGATTCATCGCCAAGACGTGACAAGTGTTTAAACTGCAAACCTGGTTACGCCAACGATGCATACTTCAGCAGACTTTACCAGCCTTTGGCACGTGATTTTTAATATGTCGACGTGATTGAGTTTTTTTTGTTTTTTTTTATTGATGAATGATGTGAACAAATTTTCAAACATGTACGGTAAATGTCTTTGGAGTATCTACACACAAGGCAAAAAGGACAAGGAAAAACTAAGATTTTTCCTTCTCAAACTCGTCGCCAGTGTGTTTTCAGTGGGGGACTGGTGTTTAAATCGGGAGCGGCGAACAAGAATTTGATGCCTTAAAAATTAGTTCACGTAATCTTTATTAGTGTGTGTGTGTGGCGGGGGGATCAAATGATTTGCTGAGGCAGGTCTTTCGTTGGCGACGGACCTGCAATTTATTTATTGTACCCTTTTTCAAAACTAGAGAAGGAAATTTTTCTATTTTTTTTTTCCCTAGTTTTCAAATTTTTGTCTTTTTAGTTTTTACTAAAAAAAACATTCTTTTATTACGAAAGAAAAAGGGACTGCTGTACACATGCGTTGTCTCCACGCACGATGCTAGTCCATAAATTTTCATTTTGTTTTTAACTTAGGAATAATAAATAAATGTATTTTATTTAATTATGCAAACACTAACTCTCAACAAATAAAGAAAAATAAATTAACTTTTATTGAATTATTTTGTAAGGTTTCAGGATGAATTTTTACTATTTTCTGATTTGATATTGCTAAAAAATTTTAGCGGAAATATCTTCAGGGATTTATTTTTCTTTATAAAATTATAAAAAAATATTTGTCATCACCACAATTTTAAAAGCATATGATCTATCAAAATGTAGGTGTTACAGTTTTAACAGAACTGAACTTCTCCAAATATTTCCACAAAGTTAAGTTTACAAAAACCTATTTAGAATAGAATTCATTCGTTAATGAATAATACGTATTGAAAATTTATTTTAAATCAGATAATTCCTTGATTTTTGATAGAAGGTAGCATTATTTTGCTTGCTTTCATTTAGCATCCATTTAGCGGTACCTAATTTTCCCCAAAAGAAAAAAGGGATTCATATTGTAAAGAATCACTGTCTTTATGCAGGATGACATTTTATTTTCTTTTTTTTTTTTTTCTTTTTTTAATAGAAAAGTAAAAATAGGAGACCTATACAGCACAGTACATGCACTATCTTCTTCACGTACAAAGTTATGTTGGAAATTGATAATTTCGACTTTTAATTTATTTCCTTTTCTTCTTCGGTTTTCTTTTCTCTCTCACTCCTTTATTTTTTAATTAATTGAATTGGAACGATGTGTGTATAGTGTGGATCCGTTTTTTCCCTTTTAAGAATATTGGGCCAGAACAAAAGTTTATAGTGTTTTTAAGTGAATTTCAAAGACAATATTTGCACACAGATTTATTCAACCACATTTTGTTCCACTAACTTTCACCATCTTTGAGGTAGATTTATGATTCCATCCTCCCAGAACTTGGCTTATTTCTGGGTGATGATCTGGTCTAAGTGGTTTTTACAGACTTCCAGAGAATTGAAGTTCTTCCCAGTTTAGAAATTGAAATAATTGGTAATATAAAGGTACAAGGTCAGGTAAGGAAATCCTAGCCAAGCTATACCAATTTCTGCAGGATCTACAAAGGTATGTGAAGTCTGGTTTTGTCTTGATAGAAGATGACCCCTTTCAAATTGACCAATACTGGACACTTCATTGATTGCTGCCAGTCCAATTGGGAACAAATCCATCTGAATTCAATATCCTTCCCTGCCAAATATTCTATTCTGCAGTTATACCCACTTAACTTCAATGCCCACTGTTGTATCTTCTTATTTGTCCACTCCTCCTCTAACAAATATTTGAGGGGTTTGTGGTCTGTTTTAATGGTAAACACATCCCCACTCAAATAATAATCTAATTTCTGCACAGCATACAGAATGGCGAACGCCTCTTTTTCTATTACTGGCCACCTTTGCTGAGTCTTGGACAGCCAATGAAACAGAAAATAGATTGGCACTTCCTCGGGCACACCCAGTACTGGTCCATCCTTATCGGGACATGATTGTGTAAGAACCGCCCCGATGCACTTATTGCTAGCATCGGTGTACAGCACCATGGGCTTACTCAGGTCTGGGTAGGCCAACAGGGGTACAGCTGTCAGCTGGTCCTTTAGAGCCTCGAATGCACACTGACAATCCTCAGACCACTTAACCCTAGTATGCTTCTTAGAGCTATTAGAGGGTCTGCTAGCCAACTAAATGCTGGTATGAACCACCAATAATATCCGATGGCTCCAATAAATCCCCTAATCTCTCTTACGGTCTTCAGTGCGGGCATGGCTTTTATAACCTCTACTTTGTCTAAATCCGTTTTTACTCCTTCTTTTTACCCTAAGTACTTTGTCTCTTCTTTCATAAACTGACACTTTGATAATTTTAACTTTATTCTATGTTCTCTTAACCTATCAAACACCTTCTGCAGATGTTCAAAATGCTCCTCCGGTGATTTTGAAAACACCATGATGTCATCTAGATATGCCATGGCAAATGCCTCAGTGCCATTCAATACGATGGACATTAACTGACTAAATACACCTGGGGCGTTTGCTAACCCAAATGGCATAACTCTAAAATTGAAGAGACCCATGTGGCAGGTAAAAGCGGTCTTTTCCTGATCCTTTTTGCTAAGTGCCACCTGCCAATATCCCGACCTCAAATCCAAGGTGGAAAAACATTTAGACTCTCCTAAAAGAGCTAGAATATCATCAATCAAGGGGAGGGGCACTGCCAGCAGTTTTGTAATGGCATTTAATTGATAAAAATCCACACAAAACCTATGTCCTCCAACAATCACTATTGGAAAACTCCAGGGAGGTTTGGATCTTTCGATTATCCCTGATTCCATCATTTCATTTACTGCGTCGTCTACTAATTTTCTTTTGTGGATTGGGGTCCTATACAGTCTTAACTTAATAGGTGGGTGATTACCTGTATCTATCTTTATTTCAACTGTCTCCGTATGTCCCAGTTCCAAATCTGTAATGGCTATTACCTCCTGATTACTGTTCAGCAACCTCCTATAACATTCAGGAGCTGTTATATCTTCATCCCTTATTTCATCACTACCTGTCTTATTCCCAGGCCTATTCTCATTCCATACTCTCACCTGTTCGACTTCTCTCACTGGGCATGCCTGTGCCAGCTCCTCTCCCTACTTTATTTCAATAGTTTTATTGGCAGTATTAGTTAACAGTAAGGGAACGGTCCCCGACCTCTTCACCAACGAATCACACATGGTTATTTCCCTTTCACTATTATCATACCTATCAGTAGGGACCACTTGGTACAGGTCACTGTTCAGCACTCCTTCTGTTATAATCTTGCCCTTCCCAGATACAGTAGTCCTAGGGGGAAGCTTTATATCTGTCTGGGCCACCACTGGCAATTGTTCATAATTATCCTCTCCCAATAGTATCCCTACCCCGTCCAATGATAGGGTGGCAGGGTCAAAACAGATCTGTGCCTTATTCTGCCTAAGCCAATCACTCCCCAAAATTAGTTCACCACACAAGTCAGGTGCCATAAACCTTAAGTTTACCTCTGGTTCTTGCCAACTGGAAGGTAGCCACGTCATGCCTCTATCCTCATCCTGCTACTATCAACCTGACTTATTAGTAGATCGGCCAGGGACTAAGCTTTGTTTTCAGTCCCAACTGTCTAAAAACCTTGGAGCTAACCAGTGACACTGAAGCTCCAGTATCGACAAGGGCCTTCACTTTCTTGTCTCCCAGCAACATATTACAGGTGAAGTCTGGCACTTCCTTCAGCAAACGGTATACCTGTGCCTTTCTCCTTCCTGTATGTTCTCTCCCTTCCTCCCGCTTTCTCGACAACCAAGATGTGGGAGTCAGTGACAGGAGTTCACCTTTTTCTATGGGCTCCAGTTTCTGCCTAGGGGCCCTCCTGGGAGGGGTAGAGCTCGGATGATTGTCTTTTCTCGGACCAGCAACCCATTTCTCCCTTCCATTCGAGTTAGGCTTGTTCCGTTCGGTGTGGTCCATCTTTCTCCTGTGAGGACAGGTTTGTCTCAGGTGACCCGCTCCTCCACAGTGCCAACACCTTCACTCCTTACAACTGGCCGAATAAACTGCATCCGCGTCCATGGGTATGATGGTAAACTACATCCACATACTGGGTATGGCGATAAACTATGTCCAACAGAAAGGCTGTTTTTGAAAAAATAATGTTTCAGCTATACATTTTTAGGAAAATACTATTACCAGCTATACGTTTTCAAAGGAATAATGTTGCCAGCAGTGCATTTTTGAAAAATAATATCACCACCTATACGTTTTTGGAAAAATAATATCACCACCTATACGTTTTTGGAAAAATAATATCACCACCTATACGTTTTTGGAAAAATAATATCACCACCTATACGTTTTTTGGAAAAATAATATCACCACCTATACGTTTTTGGAAAAATAATATCACCATATACGTTTTGGAAAAATAATATCACCACCTATACGTTTTTGGAAAATAATATCACCACCTATACGTTTTGGAAAAATAATATCACCAGCTATACGTTTTTTTGGAAAAATAATATCACCAGCTATACGTTTTGGAAAAAAATATCATATACGTTTTTGGAAAAATAATATCACCACCTATACGTTTTTGGAAAAATAATATCACCAGCTATACGTTTTTGGAAAAATAATATCACCACCTATACGTTTTTGGAAAAATAATATCACCAGCTATACGTTTTTGGAAAAATAATATCACCAGCTATACGTTTTTGGAAAAATAATATCACCACCTATACGT